GAATAATATCGCGCTACACATTCTCCAGGAACCACCACCTTTTAGGTAGAACGGCGTATAACAATCGGAGCGAGAAAACAACTGGCTGCACCCCTCCATAGGTGGGCTACAACAACAGCTCTATAATCCCCATGCACTGTGAAATGAATTGAGCAGCTGAAGAGAAGCCGACGATGGGCGGATCACAAGGTCCAGTGAGTTCGAACCATCCTGGCTTAACACAGTGCGAATCAGCCGTCTCTACGTAAAAAATACAAAAAACCTACCGCGCGAGCGTGGCCGGGGCTGCTAGTCCCCAGCTACTCGGGAGGCTGAGGCCAAAGAATGCGCGTACAACCACAGGAGGCGAGCCCTTGCAGTGGTCTGAGATCAAGCCCACTGCACCATCCAGCCTGGGCGACCAGAGTGCAGACCTCACAAAAAACAAACTAATGACATATGAAAAGAATCGGGAGTTTCTCCATAATCAGCTCATCGCTCTCGCCCGACCTCGGTGATCTGCCGCATCTCCACCTCCCAAAGTGCTGGGCGGATTACAGGCCGTGAGCCACTGTGCCCCAGCCAGTAGAGATCATTTTCTTTTTTTTTTTCTTTTTCTTTTTTTTTGTTGCCCAAGCTGGAGCGCAGGATGCAATCTCAGCTCCTGCCGGGCTAGGCAACTCCACCTCCTGGTTCAAGGATTCCTCGTGATTCTCCTGCCTCAGCCTCCTGAGTAGGTGGGACTACAGACGCCTGCCACCACACCCAGCTAATTTTTTGTAATTTCAGCTAATGTTTTTTTTAACGGGGTTTCACCATGTTAGCCAGGATGGTCTCAATCTCCTGACCTCGTGATCCGCCCACCTCGGCCTCCCAAAGTGCTGGGATTACAGACGTGAGCCACCCTGCCTGGCCCAAGTTGTATTTCTTTAAGTCTGTCTACAAAGAAACAACAAAGCTTCCCCATAATATCAAAAGGTATGTTTTAATAGTTCTAAGCGATCATGATTAAGTAAAATTTTAAATGCTTTATGTTAAAAAAAATTGTTTTAATTACTTTGGACCCTAAATTGCTTAAAATTTTTTTTAAAAAGTAAAAAATGCTTTACGTATTAGACACAACAATATAATTACTAAAATTACTGAAGAAACACGGTTAAAATTTAAAACTATGCTTATTAGAGCAAGGTGATTTTATCTACCAATATTGTATTAATATGTGTCTGCTCACTTTACTCTGGTAACTTCACTTTGAATTCAACTGTTAGAGACCACCAAGACCCTCTATCTTAACTCTCTCATAGGTGTGCTGTGTGAGTTAATTCCAACAATTCTAATATTAGCCTGTACTGTTTTGTTAAAGTTCCTGCGTGGCAATGACCCCTGATCAAGGCATGAAAAATACTGATTGAATGGTGGTGTTTTGTATTTGTGGGTCGGGGGATATTCAGGTGGTTTACTATCAGCATTGTTTAATGTGATTGATGAGTTGCACTTGGTCTCAATGAAGCTCTTCCTCTGACCTCCACTGAAGAGGCTAGAGAACAGGAACATGTCCGCTTGACAAGAAAAGTATTAAAAAGCCCAGTGAAGACTCTATTTTGGGCTCCTACGTTCCAAGGTGTCCGGTGCACATATCCTGCTCTGAGAGAGAAAATGCACCCCATCACAGACTTTACACAACAAAGGACAACTGGAACTTGCACCCGAACTCTCTGGATGACTTGCTATGACAGCCTTTGACTGTGATGCATATCCTTACTATAATCCTGCTACTGGATTGTATCCTTTTCCTGTAATAAACTGTAGATGCATAATCATTGCCATTCTAGGCCCTGTGAGTCTTCTTTGGCAGTCAAACCCTTTTTCACTGCCTCTGTCAGTGCAATAGGCCTTAACTCTAACATTCATTTCCAAAAAGCAAAAATTTCTAACCTGTTACATGTCTCTTGGCTTCTGCCATGAAGTTAAGAGTCAATACAAACCTGTTAGAAGTCTGGGCCAGGCGCGGTGGCTCACGCCTATAATCTCAGCACTTTGGGAGGCCAAGGCAAGTGGATCACAAGATCAGGAGATCGAGACCATCCTGGCTAATAAGGTGAAACCCTGTCTCTACTAAAAATACAAAAATTAGCCGGGCATGGTGGCGGGCGCCTGAAGTCCCAGCTACTCGGGAGGCTGAGGGAGGAGAATAGCATGAACCTGGGAGATGGAGCTTGCAGTGAGCTGAGACTGCACTCCAGCCTGGGCAACAGAGCGAGACTCTGTCAAGAAACAGAGAAAGAGAGAAAGAAAGAAACAAAGAAACAGAGAGAGAGAGAGAGAGAGAGAAAGAAGGAGAGAGAGAGAGAAAGAAGGAAAGAAAGGAAAGGAGGAGAGGAGAGGAGAGGAGGAAAAGAAAAAGAAAAGAAGGAAAGAAAGAAATCTGAACGTGGCTAGGTTCTGTGGCTCACGCCTGTACTCCCAGCACTTTGGAAGGCCAAGGCAGGCAGATCACCTGAGATTGGGAGTTTGAGACCAGCCTGGCCAAAATGGTAAAACTAAAAGTACAAAAATTAGCCGGGCATGGTGGTACATGCCTGTAATGCCAGCCACGCAGGAAGCTGAGGCAGGAGAATCACTTGAACCCAGCAGGCAGAGGCTACAGTGAGCCAAGATTGCGCCATTGCACTCTAGCCTTGGCAACAGAGCAAGACTCCATCTCAAAAAAAAACAAAAACAAAAACAAAAAAAAGAAATCTGAATGTGTCCTAAGAGTGAGTCACCACCACCAACTTCATGAGGACAGCACATTGCCAAATATATATTGTATGAGTTGAAGGAAAACAAAAAACAAAATCACTTGTTACCTTCATGTTTTTCCAGAGCCTGTATAACATTGGGTAGTTGATTTATACCCTGATAGAGCCGGTAACAATCTTGTAAGTTTGCTGCTTGTCTTTGAAACTTCTTGGCAAGTCGGTTAAGATCTGGGAATCGACGAAGTAAATCTTCTTGTAAAGTCTGCCTCAATTCTGCATCTTCTACAAAAGCTTCCACTAAATTCAATCTGAAATAAATTAACTTGCATTAATCTAAAATATTTTAGTATAAAATTAAAATTTGTCAACTAAGCACATGAGTCTCAACTAAGTGAGCTCAAAATTCCATTTAAGAAGCTTGAATCCACCTGGCGCGGTGGTTCACACCTGTAATCCCAGCACTTTGAGAGGCCGAGGCAGGCGGATCACCTGAGTTCGGGAGTTCGACACTAGCCTGACCAACATGGAGAAACCCCGTCTGTACAAAAAATACAAAATTAGCTGGGCATGGTGGCTCATGCCTGTAATACCAGCTACTCGGGAGGCTGAGGCAGGAGAGTCACTTGAACCCGGGAGGCAGAGGTTGCGGTGCACTGAGATCACACCATTGCACTCCAGCCTGGGCAACAAGAGCAAGACTCCGTCTCAAAAAAAAAAAAAAAGAAAAAAAAAGGAAGCTTGAATCTAGGCTGAGTGCAGTGGCTCACACCTGTAATCCCAGCACTTTGGGAGGCCGAGGTGGGCAGATCTCAAGGTCAGGAGTTTGAGACAAGCTTGGCCAGCATGGTGAAACCCCGTCTCTACTAAAAATACAAAAAAATTAGCTGGGCATGGTGGTGCACGCCTGTAATCCAGGCTACTTGGGAGGGTGAGGCAGGAGAATTGCCTGAACCCAGGAGGCAGAGGTTGCAGTGAGCCGAGACAGCGCCCCTGTACTCCAGCCTGGGCGACAGAGCGAGACTCCGCCTCAAAAAAAAAAAAAAAAAGAAAGAAAGAAAGAAGCTTGAATCTATTCTGAAACGTTAGCTTTTTTAGAAGGTGGAAAGCTCTGTAAGACTGTGAGGCAAACATTTCCTGATTAGCTAAGAGTCAAATTAATGTTTAGTTAAGCAGTATCATAAGACACTGACATATACCCAATTTTGTTTGACTTTCATCAAACAGACATGCCTTAAATAGGAGAAAGAATTTCATTACTGGGACATTGTTATGGACACACTGTTGCACATATAAATAGTGATGTTTAATGAAACAGAACTACAGTTCAAGAATGTTGCCCAATCCAATACTTAGTGTATCTCTTACACATTTTTAGAATGCTTTCTAAAATTACCTCTTGACGGTACAAAGCCAAAAACTGTTAATTAAAAAACTAAAATAATTTTACTGCTTCCCAAAGTCAATAACATCTCAGCTTGTTTCAAGAACGATAGAATATGCAGTTCATATTGCTTCTGTAAGTTATTGGAAATCAGTGACTTTTCATTTTTTTCAGTGTAACCACAGCAAGAAATGTCTTTACATCACAATCCAGCACATGCATATACAGATCTATCATTAAAATAGGTTTCACAAATCAATACTTATATTCCAATTATGTGATACACCCTGCTATTTTCTTTTTTTTTTTTTTTTTTGAAACAGAGTCTCGTTCTGTCGCCCAGGCTGGAGTGCAGTAGTGCAATCTCGGCTCACTGCAACCTCCAGTTCCCGGGTTCAAGTGATTCTCGTGCCTCAGCCTCCTGAGTAGCTGGGACTACAGGCGTGTGCCACCACACCCGGCTAATTTTTTGTATTTTTAGTAGAGACGGGATTTCACATTAGCCAGCATGGTCTCAACCTCCTGACCTCGTGATCCACCCGCCTCGGCCTCCCAAACTGCTGGGATTACAGGCATAAGCCCACTCTGCCATTTTCTATCGTATTTAATTCTTCAAATTGCTCTTTGTCACCTAATTTAACGACCCACTACTGGGTAACACACACCTTGCAGTTTGAAAAACAATGTTGGAGATGTTACTAAAGTAATAGCTGAAAGGTAAATTGCTGAAGCTGAAAGGTAAACTAACAATTGAAGGTGGGAAAATGTTCCTACATATTTTGCACATCTCCAAATACAGTTTTAGAGAAACTTTTCTGGAGACCATAGGTATTACAGATGACTCAAGGTTCAGAACGCTATCAGATGAGCAACGATCTTCCTTATGTTTGTAAACAATGTGACAGTAAACTAAACCTCAGATTACACAGGTATAGAAAGGAAACAAATCTACTTTCTAAATTGAGAAGCTGGGACCACAGGTGCCCACCACCACACCTGGCTAATTTTTTCGGATGTTTAGTAGAGATGGGGTTTCACTGTGTTAGCCAGGAAGGTCTCGATCTCCTGACCTCGTGATCCTCCTGCCTCAGCCTCCCAAAGTGCTGGGATTACAGGCGTGAGCCACCGCGCCTGGCCCTAAATTTCTTAACTATTTACTGACATCACTAGCATTTACAATTCCTGTGTTACCAAAATGTTTATCAAGCATGTTATAAGAGGAAAAACACGTTATCTCCAGAGTACACACAAAATGGCCACATATAAAAACACATTTAAAGCATAATTTCTCAATCTTGGCAACACTGCCATTTTAGGCTACATAAATATTTGTTGTAAGGGGCTGTTCCATGCTTGTTTAACAGCAACCCTGGATTCTACCCACTATACACTCTCTTCCTCAGCATGACAACCAAAAATGTCTCTAGACACTGCTGAATGTTCCCTGGAGGGAAAAACTGCCCCAGGTTGAGACTGCTGGCTTAAAGGAACTTGAATTAAAATTCATTTTTTAAGAGAAAAGTAAACTAAACCATGTCCAGCTAATGTCTAGGCAGCTAACAACAGATACATGTTTTTTATGGAATATGCCAAATTAGTGGGAACACAATTTGCTGCCAAGTTTACAGCCCCGTCAATGGGGCTATAAACAAACATCAAGATTAATTAGGATGCCTACTGCTCCAGAAAAGATTTTTGTGGCATATACTCTACATTTGAAAAAAGAAACAATGGATGTAGTCAAATTACACAATTCAATAAAGCGAACTTTGGGGGCTTTCCTAGCTAAGCGTTTGGATCTAATTGGGCTTCATCAAGTCTGGTCCAAGGATCACCAGCATCAAAATCACTTGGAGGTAGATAATACAAAATCCCTGGGAGTGGGGCCCAGCTGTGAAATCCCATGCAATTATTATGCACACAGCTTGATTCTTATGCACATAGAAGTCTGAATCCTAACAATCACAGAAATCCCTTAGTTATCTTAACAAAGCATGTAGGCCAGGTGCAGAGGCTCACACCTGTAAGCCCAGCTCTTTCAGAGGTCGAGGAAGGCGGATCACGAGGTCAAGAGATCGAGACCATCCTGGCCAACCAACATGGTAAAACTCTATCTCTACTAAAAATACAAAAATTAGCTGGGCGTAGTGGCACACGCCTGTAGTCCCAACTACTCTGGAGGCTGAGGCAGGAGAATCGCTTGACCTGGGAGGCGCAGGTTGTAGTGAGCCGAGATCGCGCCACTGCACTCCAGCCCAGGCGACAGAGTGCAATTCCATCTCAAAAAAAATAAAAATAAAGCAGGGAAGGAGGTATAAAGGGGCAAGAAAAGATTGACAAAGTCTAATGCTGGCTGACCTACACCCTCACCTTTCCTTTTCTCTTCTTTGCATAAAACTCCCATATCCTTGTGGGTGACACTGAGGTCAATGGTAAAAAACATCACAGAGACTATATTTCTGATAAAATAATCTTATGCTTCTTCTCTGTTTCCAGTATTTTATCACTTAATTTCATCACTTAATCAAACTGACCAGAAAATAAATCGCAAGTAATCAACAGAGTTGAAGAGCCCACAAGCACACATATCCTTTCCTCTCCTCAGTGGAAGAGGTGGCTGTGCATCCCTACCTGGGAACTGAAAGGAGTCTGTGCAAAGTCAGCCAATTTTGTACCTCTGAAAAACTGATTTTCTACTGAATTTTATACTATATGATGTCTCACCTATTCAAGAAAAATTATTAGAAATAAAAAATTTATAAATATATAGTGAAATGAAAAAAACTATAAATACTGTTGGGAAGAAATACAAATTATAGTCATAATATGACCCCATATTGTTTTTAAGTGTTATCTATGTTTTTAAAAATGTATATATCTGTATAAATAAAGGAAAAAAAAAAACCCTGGAAGGGTAAGAACACAAACTAAACTGTTAACACTGATTACCACCACAGACTAGGACTGGAGGTAAAGTAGAAGTAGGGGTGTTTACCCTCTTGATTTTTTAAAAACATGACCTGACCCTGTAGTGCTTTTCAAATAAAGTTAAATTATTTTTAAAAAACACAAATTATGAGATATAGCAATGATAAAACACAAATGAGAAGCCACAAATGCACTTTTGTTGTACTTTTACAAATTGTTTGCCAACAAATTGTAAAACAGCTTTCTCTCAAGCAGCAACAGTTACACTTCCTATTTGCTCTTCATATCCCTTTCACATCCTACAAAGGATAAACCAAGAATAAAGCAAACTTGGTAAGAGTGAACCAATGGGGTTTTGTTGTAAAGAACAAGGTGGACAGATGCACTACTGCTAAGTGCTGTAGAGTAAGAACAGAACACTCCAAATTTAAAAAATCAAAACATCTCTTTCTGTTTTTCTTTCTCTCTTCTTTTAATGAGACGAATTTGTGCTCGTTGCCCAGGCTGGAGTGCAATGGCTCTGGTCTTGACTCCTGACCTCAGGTGATCCGCTGTCCTCAGCCTCCCAAAGTGCTGGGATTATAGGCGTGAGCCACCGCACCCGGCAAAACATCTCTTTCCTTTTTGTCTTATTTCTCCAAAGTCCATGAAGAGAGCTGATACCTCTAGTTCATCCTTACTGGTTTTAAAAGATAGTCAAACAGGCCGGACACGAGCTTACGCCTGAAATCCCAGCACTTTAGGAGGCCAAGGCAGGCAGATCACGAGATCAGGAGTTTCAGACCAGCCTGACCAACATGGTGAAACACCATCTCTACTAAAAATACAAAACTTAGGCCGGGCACAGTGGCTCACACCTGTAATCCTAGCATTTTGGGAGGCCAAGCAGGTGGATCACCTGAGGTCAGGAGTTTGAGACCAGCCTGGCCAACACAGCAAAATCCCTTCTCTACTAAAATTAGAGAAATTAGCCAGACGTGGTGGCACAGGCCTATAATCCCAGCTACTCTGAAGGCTGAGGAAGGAGAATCGCTTAATCGCTTGAAACCGGGAGGTGGAGGTTGCAGTGAACCGAGATCGCACCAGTGCACTCCAGCCCGCACAACAGGAGCAAGATTACATCTCAAAAAAAAAAAAAAAAAAAAAAAAAAAAAAAAAAAAAAAAAAAAAAAAAAAAAAAAAAAAAACAAAAAAAAAAAAAAAAAAAAAAAAGATAAACCACTTCCAAATGGAATGCCTTATCTAGATCAAATCTTTATTAATTTTTCCTTATCAATGGACATATTCTCTCCAAACTGGATTTCATATATCGTATATCAACATAATTTTCAGAAAATTCAGAAACAACCATAGGGCTTCTTTCCCTTCCTAAGCCCCCCAATTTAAACCCAAATAACTGCAATATTCAAAAGATTAAAATGTCAACCGTTCATTAATTTCCCAAAAATTAACTTTAATAAAAATGAAATTTAAGTTAGTTCACAATTTTCACCTACAAAGTAGGGTAAGAGTGAACCAATGGGGTTTTGTTGTAAAG